TTTTTTACATACTTAATTAGGAGAGAGTGGGGTAAGTTGGGCCATTTTTTACATTCAGCATCACTACGTCATGGGAAATATATTATTTTCTAGCAAAGATATCTACATATATTTTAGGATGTTGTTTATCCCTGGAAATAATCGGAATTAATGTAAACAAACAGTTTTGAAAACATAGCTTGTCCAAAAAAGTGGTCTCTTGGCACAACTTAACCTGGTTATGGGGTAAGTTGTGTATAGGGACAGGGTAAGTTGAACCGCCTTGGGGTAAGTGGGTGATGGTGCTGGTAGGTCAAAGTTTAATTCATGGAATGGGGGTGTGGTATGTTGTATATCTTAAATGTAAGCCTAGATTCAGACATAGATCTCTCTGTTCAATATTACTTCATCTTCTATTTCTTGGCCAGTTGCCTGGGACAGGGATGTTGTCTCGATGTGCCAATTTTTAAGCAAGTTCTCTGCATTTGAGGCAACTAAGCCAATGAAACTGGTCCGTGAGATTCTAGATATGTTTAGCAAGCTCAGACTCCATGTCATCAGATAAGACCTTGTGTGCCTCTGCTACTCTATCATAGACTCTCTTTCGCACAGGTACATGTCCATTTTCTTTTTTTGTCAGTGCACCTGTTCAGTGTCATTCAGTCTATTTCTTCATCCCTTGCTGCTGCTCCAATGGACTTCTCCCCTTCTCTCACTTCCTTGGCTGCTCTCTCCAGAACCTCAAGGTGGGCTAGACCCCTGCTTGTTTTACGTTTGTATACACGGGGCATGATGATGTCTGCTCTGTAACAAAATTGTAGCTTAAGGAGATCCCAACTGATGTATAAAACAATATTAAAACAATCTACTTTGGTTTAAATAAAAATAATAATGAAACCTAGAACACAATACATTCATTTGACTTTGTGAAAATCTGTTTTTTTTTGGACCCAACTTGCTTACCACCTTTTCAATGTGGTTTCTTCCTTCACAGACTCGATGAAATACTGGCCTCTTCCTAAATATTTTGTCACGATTCATTTTGTGTATGGTTTCCTTGAAACAAGGGGTGGCTCAACTAACCCTTTGGCTCAATTTACCCCACTCTCCCCTACCATTCTTTGGAAGGAAAACGATTTAACTCATATTGTAATTAATTATAGGTCATATGTAATACAAATCTGGAAACACTGGACAGTTACTTTAACATCAGTCTTCTGACTTCAACAATATTATTTGCAGTTTTGTGGTTTCCCCTAAACAGGTCATTTCTCATGTATTTTTTCAGCAGTGCAGGTTGGATTAAATTACACCCTAATTAGCAGAAGCAGCAGCTCATATTCATTGTCTACTGTGAGGTAGAAAGAAACGGAACAGTCGACAGCTTTCTTCCTGCCTTGGGAGTGCACATAACAGCTCATCCACTATTACTAACAGTATTTCCTCCTGACCATCTTCAAGGACAGAAAGATCCCTTTATCCACATGCACACGGGACAAACGCACACAAAGACAGACAGACAGACAGACAGAGAGAATAAGAGAGAGAGAGAAATAGAAACGCAGACACACCTAACGTGTGGATGAGAGGAGGAGAGCCAGCATGAGGCCAATGAGGAGAAAACATCCCTCTATCGCCCTCTGCTGACGGCATGTTGTAGACGGACATCAGAGTGTAGGTGTCAGGATTTCAACTAGATAGTATTTTAATCGCATTTTCCATTGTGTGTTTGTGACCCATCCAAACCATGTGTTTATTGAGGACGTGTCATTTGAGATTATTCTTCCACTGCAGTTAAAACAACACAGACTCATTAAGAACTATGTTATTTCAGAGACGGAGGTTTAATATTTACGGAGAGGTTGATGAGAGGAGGGAGACTGGATGACACTGGAGAGAGCAAGCAGGAGCTCTGAATTTAGTTACGTTGGGGTTGAGGGTGTAACGAGTAGATGTGAGTGGCAGGTGGGTTTGAGGGGAGGGATTAGCTGCCAGGTAAATTGGGGAGGAAAAGTAAATTGAAGTCTCTGGGGATTGGATCAGGACAGGGTGATTATGCTGACTGGAGGGTGGATGTGAGACGGTCTGGGGGAGGAAGCAGTGGTGGTGTGTGTGTGTGTGTGTGTGTGTGCCTGGGGGGTTGCCTGTGGTCAGACCGGCTCCTTACAGTTTAATGAGCCAGTAAGAGGTTTAGGGACACATGGATCTCTTTAAGGGGACTCCTCACATGAATAATACAGCCTAATTCAGTCTCACTCAGAAGCACACACAGACCTGAGACCTCCCACAACCCCTCATACTGTAGACAGGGACCTCTCACACCAACACATCAAAATGATGGGGCCCGTTTGAGTGGCAGGGCTCAACCAACCGAGTGTAGGCCAACGTCGAAGGGTGACGTTGGGGGAAGTGCATCGGCAACAGCCGAAAGTCCAACAGCAAGGCTCAGATCAACGTGGCAGTGTTGCCATTGAAATAAAACATGTCTCAAACCCCCATATCACACACTCACAAACTGATATCATGTATCTACATTGTACAATCAATTAGTGAGAGAGAACATCAAATGTATTTATATCCACTGTATAGGCTACATTGGTTGACAATAGAGTCTCCCACAATGCAGGCGATGGCTGCAGGAGGAAGCTGGTGAAGAGCAACTGCAGAAACTTGCAGTCAAAACTTCATGACTTTTGATCACATTATTTTTGTCAAGTTCATGCAGTTGACCTGTAGGCGAAAGCCTGACCATTTTTATCCCCATAATGCAACACAACTTTTCAGACTTGACTAAAGAGATCCCCTCGAACGCGCCCCATTACTCCTCCTAACACCCTAAAAAGCCTGAAGGGTGTGGTTGTGTGAGCTTTTGTCGCGTTCAAGACAACTGGGAACTCAGGGAAAAGAAACAAGCACCGACTGGGAAAATATTTTTAAAGGTCATCCAACTCGGAATTCCAAGTCGGAAACACGGACATCTTTCTATACCTCTGACTTTCTGACCTGAAGATCACTGACGTCATGATTTGACCTCGTTTTTTTTGGGGAGTTCCCATGGTGCTTTCAGGACAACTGGGAACTCTGAAAAACACGACATCAAATCATGACGTCAGTGATCTTCAGGTCGGAGCTCTAGAAAAAGGCCAGAGTTCCCAAGTTGGAATTCCGAGTTGGATGACCATTCAAAATTATTTTGTCTTGAACACACTGAAGTAGGCGATTTCCGAGTTCCCAGTTGTATTGAACGCACTGAAGTCTTGCGATTTCCGAGTTCCCAGTTGTCTTGAACGCACTCAAGTCGGAGATTTCCGAGTTCCCAGTTATCTTGAACACGGCACCAGTTGTGTTGAAAGCACCATTAGTACCTGTGTGACGCAATATTCCCTTTATAAAAACCCCATCAATCACTTTGACATTGTTCACTGTAACATTAAACATTGATGTGGCATTGAACACTCTGGCCCCACTCATTGTGACATCACTCATTGTGGCATCATTATGAATCTGACACATAATTCTGACAATGGTCATTGTGACATCGTTATGATTCACATTTTTAACATCCACGGAAATTAATTCAATTTCTATGACTCCCAGCTTAAATAAAGGTTAATCATTCCACATAGTGACATCCCTCATTGTGACCAAGCACCAGGTGACCAAAACACACAGGTAAATGCAGAGTTTATTTAGAATGATAGAGAATGGAGATGACAGTGATATGGTGCGCAGCTCCAGTTAGTATATGTCCTAACAGCTAGTAGAGGGAGAAGGTTGGGATGTAGGAATCTATTTAATCATAATCATCAACCACGAGACTCAGCAATCCTTCATGTGAACGACTGCAACAGAAATCATGACCCGTGTGATGTCATCTGTCCAAATCCATCAATCTAGGAGCCAAAGACCCCTCAACACAACCACATCTCCAGTATTCATCTGACTCGAAAAAAACGTCCCTGCCTGGTCACCCCCACTAAGAAAACAATAACATGCCATGACACAGACACACTTTAACATAAAGATACAAGTTAAATCATATTGTCAATCTAGTTACATTCAGACATTGATAGCAATTACAGGTGCTGTGATAATTCAGATTTATAGCAATTACAGGTGCTGTGATAATTCAGATTTATAGCAATTAGAAGTGCTGTGATAATTCTTCACATTTTACTCAACTATGTCATCTCAATGAGGGAAATGTAAAAGCCAAGGATAGAACTTTATCTTTAAACATTATCTCTTAAATTGTATCGCAATTGTAATATTCAATCCCTTCACAAATACACATGCTTTCCCAGTATTCCCAACACCCAACATAACTGAATCAAAGGAAAACAAACAACACCCCTCTTGTCAATCAGTACTTCATTCTTCAAAAACATTTTTTTTTTTTAGAATATCAGTACACGAGACTACAGTCTAGAACAGAATATAGCAAAAACTAAACATATTGGTCCCTTTGGTACTAGAAAATGGTAAGATACTATCTTAAAGTTACATTTAAACTTTAATCAATTTCTATCAAAACAGATTCTCAACTTCTCCTAAAAATGGTCTTCAGTTAATTAACATATTTTTATATATATTTTTTTTTATATCAATGTTAAAGTAGCAGAGGACTATCCAAGACCTTAGAGGGATAGTTTACTCCAAAATCTAAGTTTGTGACATTTTCACACACATGACAAAATGTCTGACAAACTTGGTTGAATTCTCTTTCATAAGCAGTTAGATTCTATGCCCTGAAACTGGGGAGTGAGCCTAAGGGGACTTTACTGACAGCCCGACTAGCCAACATCTAAAACTAACCCCTGACATTAAGCCTTAACCAAACCCTTAACCTAATTTGAAAATGAAATATGAGTTTGCACGTCAGCCACATCCCATTAGTCCCGAAGCAGAGAGAAAGCACACCCTAATATAGTGGGCAAAGCAGCTACTGCAGAAAATAAAGCCGCTCTTCCAGTCTGTCCTTAGCCTCGCCACGACGCACTGACATCACTGCCACATGCTCATCACAGGTTGTCCCCGTTCTCATGGAAACGATGTAGGTGATCCGAGTATCTGGCAGGCAGACAGGGGGATTGAAAGAAGAAGAGAAGAGATGGAGAGAATTAGAGGCAAGCCTAACTGATATCCCAAACGCACACCGCTGTTCTGCTAGCCGGGGAGGAAGGCAGAATGAAACACTCACTTCTTAGCACACAAGGCAGAGCAGTCTCGACCGATGCTCTCACTCCAGGCAGTCTTATACAGCACCTGAGAACACATACAAACACACATTATGACATCAGCACTGACATCTCTGAATGGCCAATGGGGTGGTGGGAGGTGAAAGGTGAAAGGTTACATACCAGGAAGACCAGGCAATGCAGAAAGAGGGTATAAAAGAAAGCAATGGTTCTGGCCATCTTGTTGGAGAGAATGCCACGACCCTGAAACACATGGGTGAATTACTACCATGAATTAATTAATTACATTTTATTTTCGTGTCAAATCGCCAGTTGGCAACCCATCCTTTATGGGATTAATTGACAAACAAACATTACAATAATTCACTGTGATAATTCCATTATAATTTTTCTTCCGGTGTTCTCTGCAGTGCGCATCTCATAAACAGTGAAAACATTTAAGATAAAAAATCAATTCATAATAGTAAATAAGGTTATCCAAACAATAATGATATCCCTAGAGCAGTAAAAACATCCATCCATCCATCCATCCATCCATCCATCATATATACACATACAGTGAGGGAAAACAGTATTTGATCCCCTGCTGATTTTGTACGTTTGCCCACTGACAAAGACATGATCAGTCTATAATTTTAATGGTAGGTTTATTTGAACTGTGAGAGACAGAATAACAACAAAAAATCCAAAAAGATGCATGTAAAAAATGTTAGAAAATCCAGAAAATCACATTGTATGATTTTTAAGTAATTAATTATGTATTTTATGGCATGACATAAGTATTTGATCACCTACCAACCAGTAAGAATTCAGGCTCTTATAGACCTGTTAGTTTTTCTTTAAGAAGCCCTCCTGTTCTCCACTCATTACCTGTATTAACTGCACCTGTTTGAACTCGTTACCTGTATAAAAGACACCTGTCCACACACTCAATCAAACAGACTCCAACCTCTCCACAATGGCCAAGACCAGAGAGCTGTGTAAGGACATCAGGGATAAAATTGTAGACCTGCACAAGGCTGGGATGGGCTACAGGACAATAGGCAAGCAGCTTGGTTAGAAGGCAACAACTGTTGGCGCAATTATTAGAAAATGGAAGAAGTTCAAGATGACGGTCAATCACCCTCGGTCTGGGGCTCCATGTAAGATCTCACCTCGTGGGGCATCAATGATCATGAGGAAGGTGAGGGATCAGCCCAGAACTACACAGCAAGACCTGGTCAATGACCTGAAGAGAGCTGGGACCACAGTCTCAAAAGAAACCATTAGTAACACACTACGCCGTCATGGATTAAAATCCTGCAGCGCACGCAATGTCCCCCTGCTCAAGCCAGCGCATGTCCAGGCCCGTCTGAAGTTTGCCAATGACCATCTGGATGATCCAGAGGAGGAATGGGAGAAGGTCATGTGGTCTGATGAGACAAAAATAGAGCTTTTTGGTCTAAACTCCACTCGCTGTGTTTGGAGGAAGACGAAGGATGAGTACAACCCCAAGAACACCATCCCAACCGTGAAGCATGGAGGTGGAAACATCATTCTTTGGGGATGCTTTTCTGCAAAGGGGACAGGACGACTGCACCATATTGAGGGGAGGATGGATGGGGCCATGTATCGCGAGATCTTGGCCAACAACCTCCTTCCCCCAGTAAGAGCATTGAAGATGGGTCGTGGCTGGGTCTTCCAGCATGACAACGACCCGAAACACACAGCCAGGGCAACTAAGGAGTGGCTCCGTAAGAAGCATCTCAAGGTCCTGGAGTGGCCTAGCCAGTCTCCAGACCTGAACCCAATAGAAAATCTTTGGAGGGAGCTGAAAGTCCATATTGCCCAGCGACACCTGCAAAATCGGCAGTGTATCAAATACTTGTTCTCCCCACTGTACATACAGACCCTGTGTGTGTGTGTGTGTGTGTGTCTCACCAGGCTGAGTGTAGCCTTGTCCCAGGGGCTGAGGCTCAGGTATCTGCGCTGGCGTTCCTGTAAACACACACATGATGAGTCTCAACAAGAACAATACTACAGGCCAGCAGACATGAACACATACTGACAAATACACAATCTGCCTAAAGTGTGTGTGGTTCTCCTCACCCTCTTGCTGAAGGAGGCGAAGGGGTCCAGTCTCTCCTCGTACTGGGAGGAGTAACGCACTGTAACCGTGTCATCACTGCCCCCAGCCTGTAGGGGGAGACAGAGGGACAGTCAGTCAGGAAGTCAGTCAAAAGAAAACAACACTACAACAGGGGGGGTCATTAGTCGCAGACTGTAGCGAAACGTTTTGTCTGTTGCAAAAACGTTTTGCAATGGAAACCGTTTATTCCAAATGAAAAACTTTTTGCAATGAAAACAAGTTTCTATTGGATAGATTCAGGTAGGTCCCTCCCCGTTTGCGTCCGTTTGGGTCCTAGAGTAAAAGGTAAACGGTTTCCGATGCAAAACCGTTTATCAATAGGCCACATTTTTTTTAAATGATCTGCGACTAATGAATACACCCCTGCTCTTCTGAAGTGACGGGCGGCCAGCCGGCTACTCACTCTGCCAGGGTAGCTCTGGAGGAACTTGATCTTCTCGTAGAGTTTGATGTTGTCGGCACGCAGGCTGTCCAGCTCACTCTGCAGGGCCTGCATGGTCACCTGCATGGAACGACTCTCCTGGAGGACACAGAGACGGGAAAGGGGGTTAGGAAAGTCCGAGTGTGTGTGACGAGTTGTGTATGAGTTGTGTATGAGTTGTGTACGAGAGGGACTCACAGCCTCCAGCTCCTGGTTACGGGAGCGGAACCTCTCCCTCTGGCTGGAGATGATGGAGAGGAGAGAGTCCATCTGGCCTTGAGGCAGCTCCCCCTGGGGGGCCACGCCTAGGCCTGGGGAGGGACGGCACAGGAACACACACACCCACCAGCACCGTTAGATACACTCAGGCCAACCACCCCCGGGCCACGCCTAGATACCTCGCAGAACACACACACACACACACAGCACCGTTAGATACACTCAGCAGAACACACACACACACACACACAACACAACAGCTCCTACGACATACCTGCAAACATGGCAGTGGCCTCTCTGATTGGCTCAGGGATGCTGTCAATCATGCTAGTCAGGTCAGCCCCCTGGTGGAGAAAACATTAAATCAATCTTTATCTAAAGTGCATTTAAATACTTTACAGTAATAAGAACGGATTAGACATGGGGTCATTGGGGTTTAGGGCCCGATTCGGACTCAAGTCCATGTTAAGTCAACTTCTCTCATCTGAATAGGGCCCTATGTGCATCCCAGTGATGGGGAGACTGCCACCAGGCTGGTGGTGGTGCTGCAGGGTCAGAGAGTGAAGGGTCAGAGGTGAAGGGTCAGAGAGGTGAAGGGTCAGGGAGGTGAAGGGTCAGGGAGGTGAAGGGTCAGGGAGGTGAAGGGTCAGGGAGGTGAAGGGTCAGGGAGGTGAAAGACTAACCTCAGCATCAGGGCGTGACAGGGAGGACATGGTCTGGATGGTGCTCAGGTCGTGTTCCAGTTTGAGGATCAGCTCCTTCTGCTCGGCGCTGGTCCGGACCGCAGATGAGAACTCCAGCTGCAGGTCTGCATAGCGTCCTACGGAGGGACAGAGGACAGCCGGTCAAACACACAACATCACCGATCATCAGTGCTCATGCATTCAATACATTAAATTCATTTTTCAGACCCATGTAACATCTGCATGTTCTGGTCATATGTAGCTCCCCAGTCAGTCACTTAAATGTTTCAGACGTCAACAGCCGTGGTTCTCCATCAATCCACGAGACATTTTACCTAGGCTTCTGAAGAACACTTACAGGATGGAACAGGTTCTGAAGAACACAGGAAGGAACAGGTTCTTGTCTGAACAAAGTTTTCTGTTTTAACTGGCTTGTTTAGTGATATAACTTTGTGAGTTAAAAGGAGACACTTTCAAAGTGAGGCTTCTGCTTAAAATGTGTATGTGAGTCTCTGTGTCTCTCTCTCTGTGTGTCTTTCTCTCTCGGTGTGTCTCTCAATTCAATTCAATTTAAGGGCTTTATGTCTCTCTCACTGTGTGTGTCTCTCTCTCGGGCTTTTATGTCTCATTCTCTCTGTGTGTCTTTCTCTCTGCTTGTCTCTCTCCCTCTGTGTGTGTGTGTCTCTCTGTGTGTGTGTCTCTCTCTGTGTGTCTATCTCTCTGTGTGTGTCTCTCTCTCTGTGTCTCTCTCTCTGTGTGTGTCTCTCTCTCTGTGTGTGTCTCTCTCTGTGTGTCTCTCTCTCTGTGTGTGTCTCTCTCTCTGTGTGTGTCTCTCTCTCTGTGTGTGTCTCTCTCTGTGTGTGTCTCTCTCTCTCTGTGTCTCTCTCTCTCTCTGTGTCTCTCTCTCTCTCTGTGTCTCTCTCTCTGTGTCTCTCTCTCTTGTCTGTGTGTGTGTGTCTCTCTCTCTGTGTGTCTCTCTCTCTGTGTGTCCTTCTCTCCTGTGTTTTCTCTTTCTCTGTGTGTCTCTTCTCTCTTTCTCTTGAATGTGTCTCTCTCCGTGTGTTTGTGTCTCTCTCTCTCCCTTGTTGCTGCTTTACTGGCGGGTCTTTTTTTGTCATTTAGCAGATGTTCTTATCCAGAGCGACTTACAGGAGCAATTGCTAAATGAGCGTCTGCTAAATGAGCGTCTGCTAAATGACGTTAATGTGCCCTTGAGCAAGGCATTAACCTCTATTGCTCCTGTAAGTCGCTCTGGATAAGAGCGTATGGCTAAATGACTAAAATGTAAATGTAAATGTAATTAGGGTTAAGTGCCTTGCTCAAGGGCACAGCGACATATTTTCGACTTAGTCAGCTTGGAGATTCGAACCAGCAACCTTTTGGCTACCGGCCCAACTCTCTTAACCGCTAGGTTACCTGCCGCCCCAGTTAAAAGATGATCTGAGGGAAATTAGGTTAACAAAGTCATTGTCACGTCCTTCAGTAGGGAACGAGATGGCAGAAACTTCAAACAAAGACAACACCATCTGTGTTTATATAAAAGAGATTTACTTCAATTATCACACCTAGGGTGCAAGTGAATAATCATAATAACAACACTACATTGTTTATTACAGTGATATTGCTTCTCCATGTTGTGTAAGGGACTGTCTTACAGTGCTGAGAACAGACAACATGACATGATAGAAAAATATTCAACGGAAACAAGCAAACCCAAGGCAAGGCCAATTCAGAAAAATGTCTGGAGCAACCCAAGTGCTAGCTAGGGAAACGATCTTAAGGATCTCCTTGCCATCCTTAAACAACCATACAATACACCAACCTGGTCTCAGAGCATTTCGTATTATTCTGTACGTAAATCCGGGACACTCCGATTAGTATGATAAGTTACGTTTCATATGGTATGTATTAATTTGCTGATGTCCATCACCCATTTTGTACGATATGTTACAAATGACAATTAATAATAATAATAATAATAATAATAATAATAATAATATGCCATTTAGCAGACGCTTTTAACCAAAGCGACTTACAGTCATGTGTGCATACATTTTTACATATGGGTGGTCCCGGAAATCGAACCCACTACCCTGGCGTTACAAGCGCCATGCTCTACCAATTGAGCTACAGAGGACCACAATTCATATTATATGTTACGAATTTGCAAAACGTTAGCTATGCTAGAGGTTAGGGTTAAGGTTAGGAATTAAGTTAAAGGATTAATGTTAGGGTTAGGGGAAGGGTTAGCTAACATGCTAAGTAATTGCAAAGTAGCTAAAAAGTAGTAAGTAGTTGAAAAGTTTCTAATTAGCTAAAATGCTAAAGTTGTCCGTGATGAGATTCGAACTCGCAACCTTTGGTGATGCTAGACGTTTGTGTTTTATGCCCACCCGTAACATATTATACTAAATGGAGAGTCACGAATTTACGTACAGAATAATACGAAATGCTCTGAGACCAGGTTGAATACACGGAAACACAAACAAGTGACTGGGACAGGATGAGAAGACCTCAACAATGAAATGAACAAATGATAACGCTTCACTCTGAACTGACACATACAAATGATTGGTTCAAGCCACCTAAAGCATATTAAAGCTTTGTGAAGAGGTAACGATAAACCCCCTCACATCATTTTGGTTTACAACTTACTCTGTGCTGATCTTAAGAGTGGGAAAGGGTGTAGGGAGAATTTGGGTTAGGAGTTTTCACCAAAAGTTCACTTCAACCAAAGTTTCATTTAATAAATATTGGCTGATATCATATTGATAAGACGATTAAATAGAAAGTGTCTTAGCTTGTGAATGATATGTGGATTTTGTGCAGTGAACGGAACTACCCTGTTTTTTTTTGTTGCGATTTTAACTTGAAAAATGCTTAATCTCTAAACAACTGCTTTTTCACGTTCAAGCGGACTTGCTAATCTCATTATGGGAATCCATTGGTCCAAACCACAAGTAGCCAGCTAATGACTGGATAGTATGACAACTCATTAAACAGGAAGTCAGTCCAGTGCAGGGTTGGGGTCAATTCCATTTAAATTCCTGTTTATTCAGGAAGCACACTGAAATTCAAATTCAAATTCTCTTCAATGCTTTTGAATTTGGGAACATTTTGAATTTTGGTTTACTTTCTGAATTGACAGGAATTTAAAATGGAATTGACCCCAACCCTGGTCCTGTGCCTTTTACTAACTGACCCATTCTACCCAGTCTCCTCACCCAGCTACTGACAGAGCAGAGCCAGTAGAGACAGACAAGGCAGAAAGAATATGATTATGTTCATGTACTATATATATATATATATATATAAATGAGGGGTGTGAGCATCAACTAACAGCCTGAAATAGGAGAGTTCCACGAGGGACACAGACAGCGCCCCGATAAACACAACATTCTCCAGTGTAACGTGTCCTGTGCCGTGTGAGAAGGAGTGTGTGTGCTGTGTATACCAGTGATTCTGAAAGTATTTTCTTCTTACAAAAATCCACTTCAATAAGATCTCTTTAAAAAGTATTAGAAAACAACTGAGGAGTTTTTCCCCCCTAGTGCTGATATGAGGTCCAGTGTTGCGGTCCAGACCTCCAGTACAACCACACACACACTAATAACCACTACTTCAAAAGAACGAACAATAACAATGCCTTAAAAATTCAGGAGACTTGACATGATATACAACCTGTTGCATCTGTACAGTGTTATACGACAGTGTGTAGATTCATCTGATTTAGCTTTATAGAAAAATATCTGTGGATGGAAAATTCCTGAATCCCCCCCCCTCAAACAAAATAAACCCAATCAAATCGGACAATAACATCAAACTGTTCAGTTGTAAAACCATAATATTTAACACAAGACAACTGACAACCTTTTCCATCTTCCCATCAGACTAGAGCAGGGCTGTTTGTTTGTTTCAGTCTGTTTACTTCAACACTGCAGGCAGAACCTCTTACAGTATATCTGAAAACTTGACTTTGGCTTTGCAGAAGTGACTATCTCCTAGAGGAAACCGACTGTGTAAATAACCAACCCAAAAGATACATACAACCGAACACACAGCAGATCACCTCCTCCACAGAATCTCTTGAACGCCACCAAACTTGACACTTTAATTTTGACAGCAAAGGTGCTGAGAACACAGATAAGCTAAAGTACCAGAATATGAAGATGACGATTCAGTTCGGTCCGCTACCTGTTCTATTGTCTTTATGAAAAATGATTAGAGTGACCAGTCCATTGGAAGTGGATGAGGAGAGAAGTACAAGATAAATGCCTACTAGAGGTCAAAATGAGTGCACCATATAGGGAAATAGGGTGGCATTTGGAAAGCAGCCATAGTCTTTGTAATGGCAGTCTGGCACTGGGAAGTGTGGCCAGCCAAACGGAGCGCGACGGTCAACCCCGACTATATCATACTGACCTGACCTCTGACCAGACACAGACAGCACCTACAGTCCCACATCACTAACCATTTCAGCACCCATTTGGTTTCCGTGACGATAGAAACTACTATTAAATATGACTCTGTCAGATCAGAATAAACATAAATTAGAAAACTGATAGAAGTAGACTATGGTAAACTATGCCTACATTACAGACAGTATGAACATCTGTTATAAAGCAGCTGTTATGCTATAATATACTATTTCTGGGTCTACAGTTCACAACTAGCGCAGTGTGTGTCTGAAATGGTACTGTAATGGTAGTGTATTGGTACTGTATTCAACCTTTTTTATGGTTCAATTTGTGTAGCCATGCTTGTGATATGAGCATATGAGAAGAGTGAAAGGAGGATCTGAGAAGTACTGATACACAAGACAACGAAATGGAACTACAGCCTCCCAAATTTCAGTCTAATCTACACCCAGGCCAAAGCTCTTTTCAAAGCATCAGTTGAACAGCGGTCCATGGCTGATGACATCACTGTCCTGTGTCCCTGACTGGCTGCTGAAGGCACTGTGTCTGATGACCTCACACTGCCTGGGGGAGCAGATAAAACAGACCAGCTCTCAGACTGTTTAAGTGCATAGAGCTATAGAACACTCATGATAAAACCAGTAGGTTGTTCAAGAGACAGCCTTCCAGGCAGGAGAAACAATGTGTCTCTCTTGGGTCAGCCTTTAAACCCCCCTTCCCCCCCAAAAAAAAAAAAAGGGGGGGGGGGGGGAAAAAAAAAAGGGGAAAG